CCTTCAGAAGGATATTTTACTGCAAATAGCACATTTGAATTTTCCTCAGTATATCTTCAATTCTGAGTGATGTCAGGAAGGTATTTCTATATAAAAGCAGGAACTTCTCCTCCCACAGGTACCTAACAAATTAAGAGTGGAAAAAAAAGTTACAGGGCAGGAACTACATATTAATCTTTTTTACTATGCTTGCGTTACTATGACTTTATTCTTGATTGGAACTAGCAGTGATGTCCACATAGTCTCTTGTTCAATGCCTGTTTGCTCTCCATCACAGTAAAGGCACCCTGGGCATTCATACAAGCATAAGGACTAACTACTCTCTAGTAGTTCACCTGGTAATCAAAAATCATTTCAAACCAAGTACTTTAAATTTATTTTCTGGTTAACCAGGTCTCTTGCCTAAGCTCCATTTCTTTCATAAGTAAGTTTCACAGACATCAGATCCCAAGAGAAGGACCTATTCCTTGAATAATTTATGGGCTAGAGGATAACAAATCTTTTTCATGAATATCTGTAACCTCCTACTACTCAATAATTAATTGCCTGCTCATTAACTACTAAAAATAAAAGTGTATTAAATTTTGCAACATGGGATTTTTTTGGTTTTGAGCCTCCTTACATATTTCAGCAATGCTGATTTATATTACAGCATTAAAAAATTCCAACTAATAACATGACCAATAAAATTTATTAAACATTACATTTACAACTATTTACATATCCTTCCATAGATTAATATTAAAATAGACAATATACAATTTAAGAATTTTCATTCAAAGGCATTTTGTTGGAAAAAATAGGCTCTATTACGAGACCACCATATAAGAGCAAAAGTTTTTTTTGTTTTACACAAAAATATTTTTAGTATAGTAAGTCATAGGTATGGCATTACAACATCAGACTAATATGAAATATGATTTGTAAATATTACAATTGTTTAGGTATCAGTTATTGAAGCAAAGGAGTTAAGAGTTCTGTGAAGCATGCAATACAGTTCAGTTTCAATTCTTTTACAGTTATGGTGATGAAACAAGCAGCTAAATCAAACACATGCCATACAAAAAAGAACTGCCAACCAGGAACACACTACACTTAATAAAAACTACAACTTTGGTCCAATAAAACAGTAGACAAAAACAGTTTTACAGTTAAAATATCTATTTTATACAGGTTTGAACATTAATTACAAGACTATATACATTTGCACAATATGTATAAAATAAATTATTTAAAAATGAAGACAATATTACATCTTTTTCCAAAAAGAAAACTGTACAGTAATTTACAAAATATAATAAGATTAATAGACTATTTTCCTCCAAGTCTTACATTTTCTTCCACAGGCTTTTTCATCATTTTTCTGTGGGAGTTCAACTGTTACTGAAGTTTCATAATACAAAGCTTTATAGCAGATTTTAAGTATCATTTCTTTTTGGTGGCTGTTTTAGTTATTAACAGCTTCCAGCGCTGTTAACTCACCATGTTTCGTCATCTTTTTCAGCAACAAGCTCTAAAGCTACAGGAAATTTTAAAATACAGATAATGGCAGTTACTGGGAAACTTGCTTTAAAGTTAGTATCCATCTTCTGTGCTTGAACAAGAGCCCGTGCCACAGTTCTCTGAAGGAACACCTGAATTACTGAGAAAGGTACTATTCCACAGAATTAAGTGCTCTGTCTTAAAATAAAAATACCTTTGTGTATCACCGCACCTCAAATCTCTAGTTGTCCAAAGGAAAGGGTGAGCCAGAACACGCTAACTGTCATATTGGTGTCAATTCAAAGTCATCATTAACATCAACAAGAGGAACATAGAACTCCTGAATTTCATAAATGCTGATAGATTTGTATGTAGCAGGATCAAGTTCCTGTAGTTTAAGCTGCCACTCCAGTCTCTGTACCGCATTTAAAGCCGCTGCTTCATGCTGCTGCCTCATCAAAAGGCACGTCTATTTTAAAATTGAGAAAGAAGTTACTTCAATATTTGAAAAAATACTGCAATGAATTTGAAAATAGAAAAAATATCTAGGAGACTCTCTGGTGATATTAAGTAATTTCCTGACTATGTATTTAGAAATTTGCAATTATTTCATTACAGTATATAACAACAAAGGTTAGGGTTTTTTATACTGCTAGACCCTCCTTTATGTTGCCCTTAAAACATCTACAATAGCCTATGATATTGCATATAAATCTGCTATTTATTCACCTCATCTTCATAGTGACATTAGAGGTTTGCGTTTGTGTTTTGTTTTTTTCTAAAAAGTAGAAAGATAAAGAAGTGTACCTTTAATTTGTCAAACTTATCATCAACGTCCTGTAACCATGACATAAACTGTCTTGCATTAAATCGATCCCTCACTGATGTTTTGCTGTCATCAGTCTGAAAAAAAGATGTTATTCAAACTGTAATTTATTTGATGATTCAGTTTTAAACATACTTTAAAACATGAAGCCTAGTTTGTAGGGCCTTCATAAATAATGTTTCAGATGGAAAAATAAACTCAGAATGAAAATATCAAGGTATATATGAGCATAAACAGTGACCACTACTTTTACTGAGAGCCAGTTGCTCAGGAAAAATGGGTATTTTCAGATTCCTTCAAGCTATTTACTGTACTCTATTTTTTAAATTTAGAGTAGGAGGCTTAAAGATTTATGCCTTAAAGTCTTAATCAGTACAAAGCAGATTCTTCCACAAAACTGCTATCTCTTTGTTCTCTTTAAAATTCAGTAACAAATTAAATTAGTATTTCCACAGGGAAAAGCAAAAACATTAAAATAAAGGAATGTTTAAGCCGCCTGACTTAACTGGCTACAGAAGTATTCAAAAGCAGTAATAAAAAAGAATTTTTACCATCAAAATCCCCAAAAAGAGATTAAAAAAAGTGAGCAGACATGTCTTATGTCCTGCTCAGTGAAATATTTATTTAAAAAAACCCCTACGTAATAAGAAGCTGGAATGGCACATCTTCCCATCGTGAGAAACCTGATACTCTATAGATAGTCCTAAAGACAGACTATGCCAATGTAACATTTAAATAATAATAACTAAATATGACAAGCTGCTGTTACTTTTTTTTTTTTTTTTTGGGGGGGGG